TAACTTATTCTCACTAAATAATAAAAACTAAGAATATAAAGAGGACTTAGGTCTTAGTATAGAAAATTTTATTACTATCTATAAGCTTACTAATAGTCTTATAGATAATCTTACGTTTATTAGGACTAATAAGGTATACCTTATACTTCTTAAGGAGATTTTATTACTAGTTAGACTTAAAATAGACTTAAAGTTACTTATCCTCAAGGATATTAGTGAAATCTATATTACAAAAGATATCTTTAAACTCTATAAGTAATTTTATAATTTATTAGACGTTATTAAAGTTACTGCTATTATAGATATAAATACTAGTAAGGTATATATCTATTATCTTATATTACTTAATTAGATACTTCTTATTATAATCGTTAGGTAACTAGATTATAAGTTCTAATACTTCGCTATTCTTATTAGTATTAACTAAATAAGTTTAAGCTGAGGGATTAATTAAAATAAAGTAGCTAAGTAAGGTACTTTTAGGAATATATTAGGGGAGGTTATAGTTATTATAGACTATAATCTTAGTTATAGTTATATCTATAAAGAGTGTGAAAGTACTAATATTAAGGTTCTTAACTAGTTTAAAGAGAAGATCTTAAGAGTTATCTTTAATATAATAGTGAATTTAGACCTTACTATATAATTTAGTAGGGATTATTATATAATATAGTACTATAACCTTTATATTATAGTGAGTACTATTATATAATATAGCTATAGGAATCTTAACTTTATAAGATATAATAATAATATAACTAATAGAGTTTAAGATATTAAACTTCTCTAATCCTAAGTAATCTATACTAAGAAGAATATTAGCTTATAAGTTATTAATAATAGATATTTTATGAGTAAAGGTTATAATTATAGGGTCACCTTAGGGAAATATAGTGCCTCTAAAGTTAAGATTAATAATAATATATTAATCTATATAGTACTAGTTATTACTAATATTATAAATAGTAATAAGTATAGCTTAAGTTTTGATCTCTAAATATAGATACTACTTAAATAGAAAGATTCTATTAATTAATAATAAAGAATAACTAGTATTACTATAGATATTAATCTAATCTAGCTTATAGATATTAGGTATAATTTAATACTGCAGGTAGGTCTATAATTTAAAACTAAAGCTTATACTAATCTAACTTAAAGTATTAATAGGTAATTTGATAATAGTTAGGGATTTATTATTAGTAGTAATAAGAGTAGCTAGGAGTTATATAATCTTAATAGGTATAGAGTATAAAGTTTGCTTAGCTATAGGTGCTATTAGTAAATTCTAAATTACTATAAGTATCTATTATAAGATATTAGCAGTATATACTATAGGTTAGTAGAGATTATTATAGTATGAATTCTATAATCTAGTTATACTATAAGAGTCTTAGAAGTAGTTATATAATTTATTCTTATTAAGAAAGACTTTAGAATAGTTATAGTACTTTATAGGGGAGATATTAATAACTATTATAAGATAATAAGTATTATATATATCTTTAGGCTGATCTAAGGGTATAAACTATTCCTTATTTATATTTATATAATAATTAGTATTATTATAGTTATAGTATAGTAGAGTGTTATTATAATCTTCTGCTATAGATAGGGAATAGTAGCTGATATACTTAGGATTATACTTAGGTTGATCTAGATTAATAGGATCTATAGGATTACTAGATTTACTATAGTAGGCCTAAGTAGTCTGTAGTTAAGGTGTAAATATAGATCTAGTTGTAGTATTAATACTATATAGTAAGCAGTAGTTCTCTAGAACAAATAGTTATTATTATTATAGCTAATTATTAGCTTAGTTAGGCTAGTAGGGATTAGGTTACTAGTTAGGAGGGAACTAGAACTAATTATTGCAATTACTATATTATTAGTTATTTCTATATAAACCTCTACTAAAGTTATTATAACCTTAGTTATAATTATTCTAGTTCTAATTATTATAACTGCTATATCGCTATAGGTTATTATAAGTGTTTTAACTATAACTATAATTATTAAAACTACTATATTACTAAAATTAGTTTAGGGGGTTTTAGTAGTAGTTAGTAGGCTGAAAAGGCTTATTAGCTGCTTATTACTAGTTATAATTAGAAGTTAGACTAAATTAGTTCCCTTAATTAAATTAGCTTATTTTACTTAAATAGCTCTATTATAGATATTACTGAGGTATAAAGTTATAGGAATTTATAGGGGGTATATAATACTCTTAGGCTAAATTGCAGATTATAGATTTATACTTATAGATATTTTAGATAAAAGATTTAAGAGTTATAGTAGTAGATAGAGGTAGGATAATTAATTATAAGGTGCTATTAAGAGCTTTATATACCACTTTAATATAACTTTCTTTAGTAATACTATAGGATTTAGCGTTATAGATTATAAATTAAATAAAAGTGTAAATATCCTTATTATTATAGATATCTTAGAGACTAAAGCTTATAGATTTCTATTTTTATATTATATTACTATAGTGAGGCTTAAATTACTTAAGGATTTTATTATTAATAGCTTCTATATCTATATTATAGAGTAAGGATTAGTTAATATTACTAAGAACCTATAAGTACTATATAAAGGTAGAGCTTTAAAGATATTAAGTCTAGACGTTATAGATTATAGCTAAACCTTATAAGTTTATAAGATCTATAAGTTACTCTATAAAGGAGTATATATCTATATAGACTATATTCTTACTATTATAAATTATATTAAGTTACTTTAGATTATAAACTATAAGGTTAAATATACCTATATTAATAGGATATAAGATTAAATTACTAAATGTATTACTATTATTACTACTAGTATTTATAGTATTATTATTATAGATTATAGTCTTAAGTTATAAGATAGCAGTTATAAATAAGTTAGCTATACTTTTAGTATTTATATATTTATAGGTAGCATTATTATCCTTAAGCTGTTATATAGCGTTAGTAAGGAGGTTTATAGCACCTTTAGTAGTAAGGATATTAAAGCTTATAAGTGGATTAGGAGGATTACTTTTATTTATATTATTAGAACTATAATAATATAAAGATTACTAAGATCTAATTTTATTATAAAAAGGAGATAAGTGAGGTGAGTTAGTATAACTAGTTTCTATAGGAGGTAGAGTTATAAGTTCTATTTTATTAGTAGGATTAGATAGAAAGAGAGGGGCTTTATTATTAAACATAATAAAGTAGCTATTTATATTAGTACTAAAGTTAATATAGCTAATCTAATAGGAGTTATAGAAATAGGAACTAAGTAGGTTTAAATAGCTTAGAGTAAGATTAAGATTAAGATTACTAAAACTTAAGTTACTTAGATTAATATTAAGATTAATAATCTTAGTGTTATTATTATTATAAGTAGTAATAATAGGGGAATTAGTAATAGGTATAGTAATATATAAGGATAGGAACTAAGGGGGAGGGGTTTTAAGTCTAAAGGTAGCTTAGAAAGGTGAAGGAAAAGATATAGTTATAATAGTTACTAGTACTAGTATTATAATAATTATAAGTAGGTAGTTATAATAGTATTATACTTAGTGATAAAAGGTTTATAAGAAGTTATAAAATAAGTTTTTTATTTTAACCTACTTAATAAGGTATTAGCTATTAAAATAGGTTACCTAAGTTAGCTCTTTAGGGATTTCTATAATAAAGTATTTAGCGAGGGGTAGATAAGTTTTATTAATAATATCTAGGAAAGAGTAATTAGTTATTATAAAATTAAGGAGTTCTTAAGCTTAACGTCTTAGATTAATATCTATAAGGAGTAATTCTTATAATCTATTAGGGGTTATAGTAATAGATTATAATATTAAGATAAGTTATAAGTAGAGATTATAGTATTATAGAAATCTAGACTTTTTAGATTTTAAATATATATAGGTTAACTAAGGTAGGGGTAAGGCTTACCTCTAATTAGCTGAAAATTAAAGAAGGTGGGGTAGGTAGTTATAGATAGTTATAATATATTAGTAATCTATATAGGTTAGAGATATAGTTTTAAGGTATAGTTTTTACTATAATAGTAAATTTAATTATTAGTAATAGGGAATAAAATTAAATAAAATGTAGTTATTATAAATTATCGTTATAATAACCTTAAATTTATAGGGTAGTAAGATCTAGCTATTAGATTTTAAGGTTATACTACTAACTATAAAGCCTACATAGTAGGTGTGAGTATAGATATATTAGTTAAGTGTAAGTCTAGGTATATTAGGGGTGTGAGGTAGCCTAAGTAGTGCCTTGTAGTGGGGCTACCCTCATAGTCCCCCTCCTTTCTTATTTTGGGCTAGTGCGGGTGCCCCAGCAACCACTCGATTCAGCCAAGAGGAAGGCGGGCAGACAGATGGGCGGGCACCCAGGCACGACAGGCAGGGACCACGGCCGATGCAATCGCGATTTGGCACTTTGTTTGACTGGTTCGTGACAGGGACGCTTCATTAGTATTGGCCACGGCATTCACGATCATAGAAACTCGAGCCATCGAGTGAGGTGGATGCAGAAGTGAAGAAAAAACACTGAAAGAAAGAGGTACGTGCGCATGCCTCCCGTTCCATGCAGCCAAATGAGCAGCAGGCAGGTGTGTGTGGCCCGGCCCAGCCCAATTCAGTCAATCCAGTCCAGGCCGCGTCGCTGCAGTCAGTGCCACAAGCACCACAGACACTGGACTGGGTCGTCAGGAGAAGAAGGAAGCAAAAGGAGGAAGAAAAAAAAAAGATTTGGGTTTTGACACCTTCTAGCTTGATCGCCGTCGCTGCTTCGCCCATTGACCCTGTCAGCGAATCCGCAACATCGCGCCGAGCCCACTCAACTTGACAACGACCTCGACGGCATTGGACAACCGCCCCCGACCGGCCACCTTTTGCTGACCTCGACCGCCAAACGACCTATCACCGACTGCGCAACACCCAAACAAAGAATTCGGTCCCTCGACCAGCTGAATGCATCTCCAGAGTCGCCCAGCCACACTCCACCATGGACGATGAGGCGAGTCGGCCCCGGAGCCGCCTCGACGACTCCTCACGCCCAACAACCGCCCGCCGTGTCAATCACGACAGCGACAACGACGACAGTTTGCGCATCGACGTTCATGAGCCCGAGCCCAAGCAACACCATTCAGACTACCGGGAGAACAACAGCACCACACCGACCCCGGACGAATCGCAGCTCACTCCCACAAAGTCCATCTCCCATCATGAGTCTGCCCCCGACCGCCAATCCTCATCCAACTTTGTAGACGACCGCAAACCCCCAAACGACTCCATGTTGCCTCCCCCTCGGCCACAGACCAACGCCGTCCTCGACAGCAGCTTCGTCGAGGGTCCTGCCTACGACGACTCCCGCCATGGCGACTCTATCGCTGAATCCGCCGTCCGAGCCCACTTGCAGGACGTCGAGTCCAGCTTCGTCTCCCGCCTCTCTCCGATACCCACGATAACCCACGAGGGCGCCGACGACACATACCTGTTCGACGGCGCTGCCTCGACCAAGTCTGCCGCTCGCAACCAGCCCCCCGCAAGTCCTAGTCCCAGCCCCAGATCCGGCGCCCAACCCGCCGACAATTCAGGCCTCGGGGACTTCACCGAGCTAAAGCCACAGGATTCTGCCTCCGTCGACATCTCCAACACCACCTCCTCTCTCGAGCAAATGTCGTCATCTCCAGCCGCAGCAGCCGCAGCACGAACCATTTCGCGGGCCCTGTCCAGCGCAAGCAACCGAACAGACAAGCAACCACAGGAGCCATCCGCCGCCGAAGACATGGACGAAGAGCGCTCGCATGCCCACGCCGAATCAGAGGCCGAATCCACTTCCACGACGTTACGGAGCAAGCGATCTGACGGTAGTCTACGCGGTGGCTCCGTAGACGCCGGCAGCACGCCAGGGCACGCTCTGCGCTACGGCACACGGCCTAAGTACCTACGAAGCCGCGGAGCCAGCCAGAGGTCTTCCGTTTCTTCCTTCGTCACCAATCCCGACTCCCACGACGATCTCGAAAGCGATCCGCCTACGGCCAATCTCGGTGTCGACTTCGCCCTCCAGTCCGGCGGCGCTGCCACAACAACGAGCCTGCCCCGCAGCCTCAGCAGCATCCTTTCACGATCAGTCAGCATCGGCAGCATGGTTTCAGGCATGGACGACCCTGAGTCTCTGCCAAGCCAGCTGGAGACGCTCGACGAGGTCGAGACCGGATTCACCCCTCGTCGACCGAACAGGAACGAAGACCTCCTCGCCACCCCGAAACCATCCAAGGAAAATCTGACTGCCCCAACCGACACAGTAATCGCCCGCCATGTTAGGAATGTGCAAGTGCCCGAGTCGCTGGCAAAGGAGTACAGATCTAAGAGTGGCTTCGTCACGCCTCGCAAGCCCTCGGAAGCACCGCTCGGCGCCTCCACGCGGTCGGGTAAGAACCTGACGCTGAAAGAGCAGAGCAGCACCATCGAACGGCTGTCCAAGGAGAACTTTGACCTGAAGCTCAAAGTCATGTTCTTGAGTGACCGGCTTGACAAGCTCTCCGAAGAGGGTGTTAAAGAGATGATCTCGGAGAATGTGGAGCTCAAGACAAGCCTGGCCGTCATCCAGCGCGACAACAAGGCGCTGCGGAAGAAGGTCAAGGAGCTGGAAAAGCAGCTCAAGGACGACCACGAGCGACCCGGAACGGCGAGGAGTGGCGGATCATCTAACGACTCGTCCGACCAAGATGCCCAAGAGCGTGAAGAGGAGCTTCTGTACCTGAGAGAGCGCATGGAAGCCTACGAGACCGAGTTCGAGAGGCTCAGGAAAGAGAGCATGTCCAAGGAGGCTGAGAAGCGCAAACTCGCAGAGGTGGTCAAATCGCTGGGTGAGAGGTCAGGCGGCAATCTCGGCAGCCAGGAGGAGGCGGACGTGTGGAAGGATCTGCTCGAACAGGAAACCGCACGTCGGGAACAGTCTGACGAAGACAATCGCAAGTTGCGCGATGAGATTTTCCGCCTGAAGCAAGAGATGTCCAGCGCCCACGGCGGCCTACATCATACGACCAACATTTACAATATTACGAAAAAGCAACGGCAGACATCACCAAGCCGGCCTGTCTCGGGGCTGTCGGGTGACATCGAAACGAACGGCGGATTCAGTGCTGCTAGCACCCTGGTGGACGAGCTGCGTAGGGAGAGCGAGCAGTTGCGACACGAGAACGCCGAGCTGCGGCGCGAGGTGGGAGCGCAGACGTCCATGCTTACATCCCGAAACCGCGAGAAGGAGCGTCTGTACCAGGAGATCGAGGACCTGAAGATGGCTCAGAGACGCGGCGGTCCAGCGCCGTCGACAATCGACTCGCTCCTGGAGCGGTCTGCTTCGCGAGCTGGCGCACACCACAGGTCGATGTCCCGCGTCAGTGCCGGCAGAACTCAAATGACGGAAATCGACGAGCTCGAGCGCGAGGAGCTGGAGAGCAAGCTTGCCGAAACCCGCGACAAGATCAACGAGCTCAAGCTCCAAAACCAGGAGCTCCAGCGTGAACTCGAGGGATGCATGAACGACTTTGAAACCGCAATCGACGCCAAGCGGCAGGCAGAAGACATAGCTGTGGCCCTCCAGGAAGATCTTGACAACGCCATGAACGACTTGGTGGCATTACAGGCAGAGAGGGACGAGGCGCTGAGGGAGCAAGCCGACATGGAGACGGAGTTCGAGTCGCTACGGAAAGAGGCTCAGGAGGAGATCGACGCGCTCGAGGGCGAAGCCGATCAGCATTCGAACGAGATCGAGAGGCTCAAGCTGGAGCTGAACGACAGGACAGAGAACTTTGACGCTCTGCAGGAGGAAATGCGGAAGATGAGCGAGGCACTCGTGCGGCTCGAGGACGACCAGGCGGCTAAGATCCGCAGGATCCAGCAGCTGGAGCAAGAACTCGCGGACGCTAATAAGGAATCGGAGGAACTGGAGGCCAAGCTGCTAGAGTCGAACGACAAGGCCCAACGGCTCAGTGTGCAACAAGAGTCCAGCCAGGGCGAGATTGCCTTCTTGCGAGAAGAGCAAGAGGGCGACAAGATTCGCATCGGCGACCTTGAGGCAGCACTCGCCAACACCGAGCAGAGTCTGCGTGATGAGCGTGATCGGATCAAGGAGCTCGAGCAGCGCCTTGCAACGGAGCGTCGGCAACGTGAGATTGTGGCTAACAAGGAGAAGGAAGAGGTGCAGCAGTTTGTCAACGATCTCAATCGCGAGATGTCAGCGGCCAAGGATGAAGCGCGTAGGTTGCGTAAGAATCTTACCTCCCGCGAAGTCGAAGCCACCGAGTGGAAGGAGCGGCTTATGGAGCTGGAGAACAATCTCAGGGAGGCACTGGGCGACCTTAACGGGACGCGCTCCAGTCTCCTCAAGGTGAGCAAGGGACCCGGACGTACTGATGCGCACGCTAACAGGAGCAGTCGATTGCGAAGCTTCAGCGAGAGCTGGAGAACACCGTCCGCGAACTGGACACGACCAAGGCATCTTTAGTGGAGAAGGATCGTATCATCAAGCAGCGCGATGCTCTGCTGGAGTCGCACGGTTTAGAATCGCGAAAGCTCGCGGTCGAGCTCGAGAAGGAGATTCAGGCACACAGCACTACGAAGAACCAATTCGAGACGTTCAGAAAGACACACCAGCACGTCACTAGGACCGTCAGCACGCAGGACCTCCGGATCTCGGAACTCGAGTCAACGCGCACACAGGACAAGAAGAGAATTGCCCAGCTGGAGTCGACGTTCAAGGATCAGCTGACGGAACGCAACAACTTGCTGTTGGTTTTGTGGACGCGCCTCTCCGCGCTTTGCGGCACAGACTGGGCCCACGACAACAGTCTCATCAACGGCCGGGCGCTGCCGTCACTAGAGGCGGTTGCCACGATGCTTCCAGGCTTCAGTAAGAACCTCTTGTTCGCAGTGAAGACGATCGAGGGCATGATTGGCGGGTTCTCCTCCCGCATCAAGGGTGTGGAGAGAGATCTCTGGCGCGAGTACCAGACCCTGGAGATAAACCTCGAGACAAAGAACAAGAAGCTGGAAAGGCTCGAGACGATCGTCCGCAACGGCATGGCTTCCGGGACTCTTGGTGCTTACGAGCAGGCCAGAATGGCGCGGCTTGAAGACGCATACCGTCAGCTCAAGGTGGAAAATGCGACACTCCGAACTGCGCAGGACGTTAGAAGCCGGGCCGCGTATTCAGCCAACAACGACCCCAACGCCGCTGCCGCGGACCCTGTAAGCGGGAGCCCCTCTCCGTCCATTCCCACCGGACCTCGCGACCGAGAACGGAAGCCGCGTAAGGGCGAGCGTACGTCGACGATGACGCGCAGCGCATCCAGCCACACGGTGACAACACCAGGCTCGACAAACCACAATCCGTTCGAGACAGCTTTGGCGGAGCGAGATGTCACCACTGACAACCGATGGATCTTCAAGCTGCGCGACTTGGAGAACAAGCTCAAGGCGGAACGCGAGGGACGGTCACAAGATCGCAGCGCCGCGAGACAGAGACTCGGCGGGTTGGAATCGGAGAACCGCGCGCTACAAAGCGAGGTGGCGCGGATCCGCCGGGCCAACGGGGCCATGGAGTGAGGCGGCGGAGGCGGTTCACGAAGGAACCATGTTTCTTTTGTAACATTTCACCCTTTGTATCACTAGAGCCCGGAGAACTGGAGCGGGATAACCTTTTGTTGCGCCCTTGTTTTGTGCATCTGGCAGACCAGCAACGTATGGTGGTAGCTGGGGATCTGGGGGAGTTTGCGGAGAACGGCCGCCTTTTGGGATACTTTAATATGGATCATTACGCCTGCCAGCATTCTCTCCACGGCATCAGATGCTCGCACTGCTCGTGAAACGTGTGTGGATTTCCGGCGAGAATTTGAGTTAGCAAACCTGACTGACCTCTACTTAGTATGGCAATCCGAAGCCTCAGCCGATGGATTCGCCCCCCGTCGTCGGACTTCCCTAGACAGCCACCAATGACCAAATGCTCGGCAACTATTCGACAACAGCACCTCGGTCAGGGTCCGGGAGAAGGGATGTACGCATGGATGCACGCAGGTAAGGTGTCCTGCGTGTCATATGCGGCCCTGCTGTCGGGCGGGGCCCCGCGTTTTCGAGCCCGGGCGGAGTCTGTCGGGCTTCCGCTTTGGGAAAAGCCGACGGTGCGGAGTGTCGCACTGGATCGGGTGCTGGGTCACGTAGGTATAAGAGAAGCTCGACGACTTTGAAGTTGATGGCGGAAATCGGCAGCATTGGCTTATTGGAGTATCGATCAATTGTGTCTTGTTTACTTCCTGGCGTATCATTTTTTGCCCTCGAGTCTTTGGATATCTCCTGTGCATGGGCGACTTACACGGCATCAGCCGTATTTTTTCAGCATTAAAAAAGCCAGCGATATTTGCAATTGCCAGATCTCCACGATGTCTCGCCTATTAAGTCTTTCTCGGAACGCGCGGAATAGGCTTCCGTCAAAATGTCTGCAACGACGCACCGTCATGATGGGCGCGGCAGCCGCGCACGCGCCAAAGAAGGAGGGCGACATCTCGTCCGTGTTTGTCTCCCTCTCCGGAGAGACGCGGGAACCGTTACCAGAGCGATTCCGTACCCTCAAGCAGAACCTGGTGGCCGGAAATGAGGACGCCGTGGTCAAATCGTGGTCCAGATTGTTAAAATCGCTGAGAGAAGAAAACGAGACCATCGCGGCCAAGGGCCCTGCCATCATCCCCAGCGTCGAGTTCTCCAACCTGAACAGCGACGTTGAGCACCTCAAAGACGAGATGAAGAAGCGCGGCGCGGTGGTTATTCGAGGCGTCGTGGACGAGAAGGAAGCGCGGGGATACAAGGACGAGGTGGAGGCGTACGTCCGCAAAAACCCGTCGACAAAAGGTATGTTCTCCCAGCGGTCTTCGATGGGATGAATCTACATGTCCACTAACACGAGCGCAGCCTTCCCTGCCGACAACCCGCAAGTCTACGAGCTGTATTGGTCCCTCCCGCAGCTCAAAGCCCGCGGCCACCCGAACCTGCTCAAGGTCCAGACGGCGCTCATGCGCGACCTCTGGAACAAGTCCCCCTCGGCGGCCATCTCGCTCCAGCCGCTGACATACGCGGACCGCCTGCGCATCCGCCAACCGGGCGACGCGACGTTCGCCCTCGGCCCGCACATCGATGGCGGGTCCCTGGAGCGCTGGGAGCGCGACGGGTACGGCAAGACGGGGACGTACGACGCCATCTTCCGCGGCGACTGGGAGGCGTACGACCCGTGGGAGGTCAGCGCGCGCGTGCACGCCGTGCAGGACCTGTACAACGGCGCCGGGGCGTGCAGCATGTTCCGCATGTTCCAGGGCTGGCTGAGCATGAGCAACGCCGGGCCGCGGGAGGGGACGTTGTTGGTGAACCCGCTGGTGAAGCACACGACGGCGTACCTCCTGCTCCGGCCGTTCTTCCAGCCCCTGCGGGAGGACGTCAGCAGGGCAGAGTTCCTGAGGGAGGAGAACTGGGTGTTTACGGCGGGCGAGGGGATGAGTTCGGAGTTGCACGGGGCGACGGCGGGACACTGTCAGGAGCTGAACGGCAAGCTGCACCCGCACCTGGAGCTGAGCCGGACGATGGTGCACATACCCAAGATCAAGCCGGGCGACTTTGTGGCGTGGCATGCGGATCAGATCCACGCTGTCGACATGGTGCACGAGGGCAAGGGGGATTCCAGTGTTTTGTACATCCCCGTGTGTCCCCTCACGGACCAGAACGTGTGGTACCTGAAGAGGCAGAGGGAGGCGTTCTTGGAGGGGCTGCCTGGGCCAGACTTCCCTGGCGGCAAGGGGGAGAGAGATCATGTGGGCAGACCTGGTGAGGATGCCATCGTCGCACCGGAGGCGCGGAGGGCGATGGGTCTTGAGGCTTTGCAGGCTGCCGGGGAGGGCGATGGAGAGAGGGCGTTGTTGAAGCGGGCCAACGAGTACATGGGCTTTTAAGGATGATGATGATGGTCCTTGAAGGGTTGTAATATTTGTACATTTGTAGTTTATGAGAATGATGTGGTCTATGTATATCAGTTGTTCATACTCATAATGGCATCCTCGTCTCGTGAGGTTTCAACACGTCTATCTATCTTAAAGCAAATCAAACACCGCCCATGCAATTTTGTCTATCCCATCTCCCTAATTCACAACCGCACTTCATGCCTGAGCCTTCTTCCTCAGAACGAATCCGTAATAATCAAACGCGCTCTCGCCACCCGACAACACATCCATCTCAAGATCCCACAGCCCCTCGGAATTCAACAGCGGCTTCATGAAGTGCGGCTGGCGGTAGGTGATGTAGAGAAACACGCCGTCGTCCTTGAGCGCGCGGTGGACCTCGCGCAGGTAGCGGCCGGTGTTGTCCCTGACGTCGGCGGGCGGCGACCAGGGCGAGCCGTGGATCATGGCGTCCATGGTGCCCTTGTCGAAGGCGACGTCGACGGAGCGGGTGGGCGCGGCGTCGGGCATGTCGCGGACGTCGGCCCAGCGCCACTCGATGCCGCCAAGGGGCTCGTGGCGAGCCTTCATGAGGTCGACGACGACCTGGGAGAAGTCGAGGCAGAGCTGGTTCTTGTAGCCGCGGGACGAGAGGTCGGCGGGAATCGTCTGTGAGTGTGAGCGGGATGACGTCCGGGGCGTGGGGAAAGAGACGTACGCTGTCGCCTGAGCCGAGGTGCATGATGCGCGGTGAGGTCTCGGGGCTTCGTTGTGTGAAGAGGTGTTTCTGGAAGTACGGCTCGAGGGCGGCGAAGGTGCGGAACCATTCGTGGGTTGGGTTGGAGCCGTCGGACTTTGTGTAGCGCTCGTTCCAGAACTCGGGGGTCGCGAGGGCCTCGGCCTCGCTGAGATCGGCGGACATTGTGGGTGTGTTTTTGAGGTTCGGTTCGAGGTTGATGAAAGTGAAGGTGAGTACAATAGTGAGGCTGAACGTGAGTGAGTATGAGTGCCGATGTGGATTGAGGATCTGTGGTGTGTGGCTGGTGAAGGTTGTGATGCCGCCGCGGGGCTTGGAAAATTCCGTCAAAGAAAAAAGGGAAGGGTCCGACGATGGTGGGGGCGGGGCGATGCCGCCCCCAATAACGACTCCACAGCGTGTCACACTCCAGACACACATCCAGGATACAGTGATCTTTGGCCTAAAGTTGAAGCTGATATTATGTCTTCCTTGATGCAATTCTGCATCCTGTTACTGCTCAGTTGTGTTTCATACCCTCTTCACATACTGAATCTGCGTATGTAACAATGTTTATAATTCGACAGATTAATTCAGCACAGCTGTGTTATCTACCGCTGCAACAATCTTCACGTTGACATACACGGGCTAGCCAAGATATGTGTTCTTCTCTACTCTATTATCCTCACTAAACTACCGTACTCCCTTAGCAGTTACCTACTACTACCTAGTATTTCTTCTTGCAGTCGTCCTTGGCACTCTTCTTCCCTTTTTCACCCTTCTCACCCTTCTCGCCCTTCTTATCCTCGTCCTTGTGCCAATCATGGTGGCCCTTGCCGCAATACGCACTACAGTCCGCCGAAGATGGAGCAGAACATTCCTTCAGTCGCTGTTCAACAGCAGAGAAGAGCTTCCTGAACTCCTCGACATCATTTACATCCCCACCATTGTTGGGAAACTTGCTGAACACGGCCGTCTTCAGATCAAGAACTCCATCTCCTGTAACGTGTTAGCTATGTCCCTCGCGTACAACAGAAGGAGCCCGCTTTAGTCACGTACCAACTTGGGTGACCCAATTGAGAGTCTCGGGGCAGATGCCACTCTGGGCAAACACCGGAACCTGGGCGTTGAGATCGGCAATAAACTTGTAGCCGGCAATATCAAGCTGCTGGCCCAGTCCGGCGAAACCACCAGCCTCCGACTCTGACACCGGCTGGATAGGGGCAACGGCGTTGGCGGCAGCGCGGACTCCCGCGATGACATTGTTGGCGACATTAAGCAGCTCCTGACCAGGTCCTCCGGTGTAGGCGTTGAGGGTGATGTCGAAGGACTGAAGACCTTGGAGGACTGGGGTCAGGACCTGCGTCAGCGCGCTGAGCTGTCGCTCATTCAGCGTGCCGGAGGAGGGCGCAGCAACAGCGCCAGCCGTGAACAGGACAACGGGAATGGAAAACTTCATGGTGGATTTGATAATGGTCGAAAACGAAGGATTGACAAGATCTGACGTGGAGCGATGGAATTGAAGTTTAGTTGAGTGTAAACGAGTACGGCTGAGGAATGAGAATGAGTGGTGATGGTTGTGAATGTTTGTATCAAGCGGAAGAGGCCGGCAGTATTTATCAGTCCTGGTATATGGCTTGGAATTCATCTGCCTTTGAGAATCTCGCTTTGACTGAGAACAACCTCAAAAGGTGTATCGTCGACGCTCTGATGGGTAGTCTATCCGACCACATTTACTGCTTACTATAGGCAACGAGAAAAAAGATGCAACTATGCCTCTGCGGCTTACAAGGATTGATTCAGGTGATGGTTTGCCCCGTAAGTCATGTTGTGCTCGCAGAGATGACTAGCGGGTTTCGCGAGGTTTGCTGACTAGACCTGACCAACACGTGGAC